AGAAAACTCCATTCGAGACGGTCATAGGCTTTTGATATATCTAATTTTAGTGTGATAAATCTTATACCTTGTTTTTTGTGCTTTGGTTAGTGGAACATCTCCTTAGTGATAATGGAATTGTTAGACATGTGACAACCCGGTACAAAAGCTACCTGATTTGGGGAAATACATTTATCTAGAAGAGTACAAAGTCTGGAAGCTATTAGTTTGGCTATCACTTGGTAAATACATTACATAAACTGATAGGTCTGTAGTCTTGGACTTTTGTGTAATCTATTTTTTTAGGAATGAGACTGATAAAAGTGTGATTCATTTTTCACAGAAGTTTCTTATTTCGAAAGAATTCTTGGACTACCTATACTATTTTTGACCCCAACATATCCCAATAGTCCTTGAATACCATGGTTGGCATTCCATCTGGCCCTGGAGCTTTCAGACTTCCTATACTAAAAATGGCTAATTTGACTTCGTCAGATGAGGGAATATTTAAGAGCATATTATTTTCCTCTTCAGTAATTACCAGATTAAATAATTGTGGTAATTCCTCTATTTTTCAAGGCTCGAGTCAAATAGAGATCAGAAAAATAGGCTATAAAAATATAGGCAATATCTTCATGAGAAGATTTCCAATTATTTTGGTCATCCTTGGTCCCTTCAATGAAATTCCTTTTCTTCCTAAACAGGGGTACTCTTGTGGAAGAAATTTGTATTTTTGTCTCTCAAATGTAACCATGTGTGGTGAGACTTCTATCTCCAGAAGCTTTCAATTTGCCACGTAGATGCCTCATACTCCTTGTATAGGCTAGTCAAGATAGGGGAATCCTCAGATTGCTTAGCTACATATCCATTGATTTGACAGTTCTAACTATCCTCTATAACTTGTTTACAAGAGCTGTCAACTAACCACATCTCATAGAATTTGAAAGGTTTGTGCAGATTTAAAATCAGAGGATTTAGATTGAGAAAAAGGGAATGGTGATCTGAACCCCATCTAGAGCCTAAAGATAAGGTTGCATTAGGAAATAAATGTAATCAATCTGGGGAAATCACAACTCTATCTAGAGTTCTTTGGATATGCCCCTTACTTCTTTTATTTGACCAAGTAACACCTCCTCCTTGTATATTTAATTCTAACAAGTTTTGATTAAGGATACAATTTTTATATTGTTTGGAAGTTAGAGAGGAAACAATATTTGTTGAAGTGGAAGGATCTAAAGAATCTAACGAAACTGTTTCATTAAAATCCCCTATTAAAACATAGGGAAGAATAACCATTTGGAGCCAACTACTTAGTTCTGCCCAACATTTATTTCTCTGATGCTTGATAGAAGGACCATAAATGAAACCTATAAGCCAAGAAATAGAACTCGAGTGAATTTTGAGGAAAACATACATTGAATGCGACCAAAACACTGAGACTTCTAAACCAGCTTTCCACAAAACTGCTAAGCCACTTGCTCTCCCTTTAGGTGTAATCACGTAGGAATTAGGATAACACAATTGATTTACTGATTTATCTATTTTATCATCAGGAATTTTTGTCTCACTTAAAAATAAAAAAAAAATATGGATTTAATCTATGGACAAAATCCCTCAACCCTTGAACTTCATTGGGATGCGCAATCCCTCGGCAGTTCCAACTCATGATGATCATTGATAGAGGTGGAGCTGATAAGGGCTAGACACCTCTTCCCACAAGATTAAAAATAAAACAAAATAATATAATTTATCCTTGCTGCGTGCTGATTTTCAGAATCATAATCAGTCTCAATACTCTGCATGATCAACTAGGATAATGCCCTCATTCAAATTGGTAGGCCTTGACAATTCTGGCTTATCATAAACTGGAAGAAGAGGGGTGGTAGGATCAATCTCTAACCCTGATAGAAATCCACTCGAGGTCTTTTTCCCCTAGACACTGAAGAGGGACCAGGTTGGTCGTCCATCAATTGGTTAAGGATTGAGTATTGATTGCTAGTTGGAAAGTCTCAGGAGAAACCCAAATAGGTGGTGGGGCAGACAAAGTTGAAGCAACTAATAGAATTAGAGGCAAAGCAGTTAAAGAGACATTGTTTGGATTCTGATTTGGATTGTTCACTGCTGGTTCAGGGATTGCTTCATTAGGAAAATTTTCTAGAGAATGAGGGGTATTCAGAGGAATATTCATGAATTCGCTGAACTGAGGTCACTTATAGAAGCGATGCATAGCTTGATCAGCCCTTAACCAGGACCCTGGTAGATTCATCGGACGACGACTGAAAAACTGATTGTAAGATCTATCAGTTATGTGAGGTAAAGGTTGTGAACAACAATGAAAAAGATGACCTATTTTCCCACACAAGTAACAAGTCCAAGGAAGAACTTCATAACGGTAGGTAACCCAGTTATGTATACTCACAAAACAACCAATTTTCAAAGGTCGGTCTACAAAAATTGTCACCTTCACACGAATATAGTTTTGGACTACAGTGATAAAACGGGTGGGACCTAAACGCTCAAAGTGGGGTCTTCCAATGTCTACTACAAGATTTTCAAAAGGCAGATCATGAATTTGAACCTAGAGTTCAACCTGTTGGAGATTCGAAACATATTGGGGTCGACTGACCATATAATGTCCATGGACCATTATTTCTAACCCTAGTATAGTCTTCCTCATATCTAAAGTTCAATCGAAAACGATCACGATGAAAGGGGGCTAGTAACAAACGATTTGGGCCTAGATTTCATAGCTCATAGAGCCCTTGAACTACTTCAGTAAATTGGTCTGTAAGACGGGGAAAGAGGCGGTAGATAAGAGAAAGATGCCAAGATTCTTCTATATTGGGAGGAATGTGGAGTTAAATGTTTATTACATCAACATTTTCTTGGCCATGAGCCTAAAGCATATTTTGGAAAGCTGCATTAAAGGCTTTCAAGCTATCCATTACACCAGAAAAGCGTTAGAGCACAAAAGAAACTTGACAACGAAAGAGAGGAAGGGGGAAAGGAAATAGCAAACTAGCAGAATCAAGAAGAAGAAAGCCGAACAGAAATCAGACGAAGAAACTTCAGAATTAAAGAACAAATAAATATCTGTCAAACTGCCACCGATAGACAAGAAAGATGAAAATACATCAAAATTACTCTGTAATAAATGTTGATCAGAGACAAGTTAGCGATAAAGGTTTAGAACCAACTAGAACAAATAGTTCACTACTTCATCAGATTTAAATATGGAAAGAACAATAATATGAACCGATAATAGTCTAATACTATCTGAACATTGGTCACATAGACAACAGACCAAAAGATTTTCATGTATACATTGTTATTCTTATATGAAAATCAAGAAAAAGTGAAGATGCCCAAGGAATGGAGTGAAAATCAAAATAACCTATTGATCTAACAAAAATGAAGAAGACACAAAAACCATGGGATTTTTGTATGCCTAACGAATGGACATTAAAAGACAACTGATCTGAAAAATAAAAATTCTATTATCCATCGAATGAACAAAAAATCCAACACAAGTAATAAGTCAATGGGGCAAAAAAATATGGTTAAAGAAACGATTTTTTTACCTTCTTCTCCGGTGACAACAAGGGCTTGTTGTCTTCTCTGGCGACGACCATTGTTTAGTATCTTCTCCGGCGTTGGTAATTGAGTGATATTACTTTCTTTTCATTAAATCATGGTTATTAAAAACGAACCGGTGACTGAAACGGTTAGGGGTCCGGTTATCGTTTCGAACGGTTTGATTGTTTGATTCGAACGGCCGGTCCATTTTGACAAAAAAATAAAAAAAATAAATAAAAAATTGGAAAACGGTCAAAACCGTTTGAACGGTTAACCATCCGGTTCAACGATTTGCTGACCAAAATCAACGGTTTTGAGAAAAAAAACGATTTTGGAGGAAAACAGAACCGATCAGATGACCGATTCCTGATTTTTCCGGTCCAACCGTCCGATCCAGTCCGGTTTGGAAAATAGTGCATTAAACAACCGTATTAGAAAAAACCTTGTAACCAAAAATTGGGTAGAAATGCCCAGTTAATCATCGATTATGACTTCAAACTGCAACCTCAGAACAGTGTTTTGAGTGAATAGTGCATCCTACCAATGCATAAGCCCTTTTCCAGACGAGGGCAGTAATATCCTTTTATAAAAATCTCTCTATCTCTCTCTGACTTGAAATATGAAGGGAAATGATCATTCTACCTTGTCGATGAATGTCAACTAACGATAAGGACCTGTTAGAGTCCAGGGTACTTTGGAGATATGTTCAAAAATTTGGGGACTGACTAGACACAACCCCCAAAGTTCAGGGTATCATTCAAAAAAGTGAAGACTGAAGAGCAACAAAATGTTCAAGCCATTTGATCTAGATCGTGTCACAAAAATTGTGGGACCAATGGATCTAATAGTGTCAAGCCAAAAGGACCACTTGGATCACTAGGGCTGTAAACTACATCTAATTATCTAAATTCAAATTCAAATTTGATCTGTTAGGTTCAGTTAGTTTGAGAAGAATATAAATACAAATATGTACAATATAAATACATATTAGGTTTTACACTTTACATATTTGCAGTCCTACTCCCTCCAAACTGAGCCTTAAGGGTGACCCAAATTCAACCCGTTTATAATTGGACCAAATATGAATTTATAACTATCTAACATAATGTGATTCAATTGAATGTACTTAAAAAATATATTATATCTATTATTGAAGTTGGTCTCAATGTTGTATTTTCATTAAATTGTTATATGTTCAAATTTTGTACAAATGATTTTCAATTAATTTTATTCATAAAAATACAACATTAAAGTTATTTTTAACTCATTTTATTAATAATATATAATATTTCCGATCATTTTTAGTCTAATTTATTTATACGTTGAATTCGATCCGAATCCGATCATACCGATTCGATTTCGAATGTAAACAAATGAATTCGGATATGCCTACATCCGATCCGTTTGTCCTATGGACCACACTGAAAATTGAAAAACCATAGTCGATCCGTGCAGAGATTTTCTTTCTCTCTGTCGCTTCGGCTCTCGCTTCGCTAATTGTTCCTTTCGACGGTTCGACGTCTCTCCAGTCTAAACGCAACGAGCAAAGCAGCATAAGCGATGGCGAACCTTTGGCGAGCTGCGTTTGGTGCCACCCAGAAGACCGACGACTACGACGGAGTGGAGTTTTGGTCGAATCCCGAGCGCACTGGGTGGCTCACGAAGCAGGGCGAGTACATCAAGACATGGCGTCGCCGGTGGTTCGTGCTCAAGCAAGGCAAGCTTTTCTGGTTCAAAAACTCCTACATCACGCGAGCCTCCAAGCCCCGCGGCGTCATCCCCGTTAGATCATGCCTTACTGTGAAGGGCGCCGAAGACATCCTTAACAAACAGTTCGCTTTCGAGCTCTCAACCAGCCGAGAGACCATGTACTTCATCGCCGATTCCGAGAAGGAGAAGGAGGAGTGGATCAATTCGATCGGGCGCTCCATCGTCCAGCACTCCCGATCTGTTACCGATTCTGAGGTCGTCGATTACGATAGCAAGCGATGAAGGAAGTATTTGATCAGATTTAGGTATACTAGGTGCGTTCCATCCTGTCTCGTCACGTCGATCCATGAAGTGCGGATCTTTTATGTGTATATTAGTTGAGATCGTTTGGCGTTTCATCTGTGGGAGGACTTGTTATTGATTTCTGTTCTTCTTTGTATAGAACTTGTTCTGTCATTCTGTTAATTCCAATTCCTGCTTTTTGTCGTGAATTATTCACTTGTTCTTTTCGGATCCTAACGGCAATTTGGTTTGATTTTTGTGTTTATGTTGTCTGGAATTATGGCTAGGGTTTTTAATAATGTGTAACTCGTCAACTTATTTCTTTTCTGGAATTTTAGTTTTTTTTTTGTGCTGGGAATTTTTATTATATTTTTTTCTGGTTGGAAGGGGATTCAGTTTAGTTTAACTGCATAATTCAGTATCAGTGCCTTCTCTTCTTTGGGTTTGCATTTAGGGGCTTCTATTATCTATAAAACTTTTATTTATCTGAATGTTGTTTTTGGTTTTTTCTTTCTTTTTTATTTAATCCTCTATAGCATCTCCAATGAGGTTTTATGGTTTGGACTTTGGAGTGCCGCTACAAAAGAATGATCCTTCAGGGTTTGTAATGTTCTTGTTCTTGTCTTTACCTTTCTATGGAGGTTGGAGAACACACAAGAATTCTCTCATGCCTTATTTGGTGTAACTTTTAATGGACCTGTATTTTCTGGATTTTATCATGGTGCTGCCTAAGTAGATTTGGACTGAATTTCTGAATCTATTAATTTTATTATGGTGACGCTTGCTTTAATCCATATTCAAGGCCAAAATGGCTATTTCATCTCTTTCTCAAATTTTCAACCTTCTTAAACTTGTTCGCCAGATTTTTTTTTTTTTTTTAAACTTGAACTTCATATTCCATCTTTTTTTTTTTTTTCCTGTCAACAGTCATTTCTTTTTATAATAAATAAATATGTAACCGAAAAATAACCTGAAAAGCTTTGCTTGAAGTCCATCCATGAGAAACAAAGGGACTGGGTGTTTATAAATGAATCCATTAGAGCCATGGGTTATGGCATCATTGTCCCAAGGGAGGAAAAAACTCTAAAGCTGCTTCTGTAAAAAACTTGAAATTCCAAATGAGTGATAATGAATTCCTTCCATAATGTCTTTGAAGGTGCTGCGTTCATTCTAGAGTTCCTTTAGTTTAATATTCCATGCCGCATAGAGAGGGATAAGTCATAAGTCCCCAAATGATAGTCTCTTTCTTGCTCAGTACATTGTGCTATTATCCCCTATGCAAGTTGACAGTCCAGTTTGTCATGACCCAGAAAAGATGACCACAAGGGACACCAAAATTTCCAAGTGAAGGTGCTGGGTACCAGGTGGGTGACTGGCTCTCTATTCCTTAAATATGTAGAGAAGAAATTTGTCCAGATTGTCTTTCTGCTGGTGAGGAGGTTCACCATCAGCATTTTATTCAAACAGTTGTCCCATAGAATTCACTTTTGGAGGAGCATTTATTCCCAATTTAGCTTAGTAGGGAATCATGGCAAATGGCATTAAAGGAGTTTGGGAAAAATATTTCATCGAAGTTATATTCCTTTTCCGTTCCCATATTGCTTCACTTTTGTGAGATTCATCATCGGTTACTTTATTTTGATAGATAATAAAGATTTTATTAACATCAGTTACTTTAATAGTATTAACCATACAGGTGTAGATTCTTCTCAATGGCAGCTTTATTTTTATTTGAATAAAACTGAGAACTTGTTTAGATGGAAGAATAAAAGTGAACCGACTATAGTGACAACTCCTTTACTAACCTCAAGAGAGCATAAAGAACTCACAAACAGACCCCCTAATTAGTGACAACTCCTTTACTAACCTGAATACTTATTCAAGGAAATTAGCACCTACTACTAAGGTTCAAAGTATCGATACACCCCCGTGTATCAGCAGAGGCATATTGGTACTAAAAAGCATGCACTTTTATATTTTTTTAGTTTTTTTTTTCAAAAATTGGTCTTTGGGTATATATATATAAAGAGGGTTCTGAACAGAACCCAAAAGATACGATACGATACACCTGATACAGGGCGTATTGTATCGAAATTTTGATCCTTGCCTACTACAACTCTCTCCTCTCAAAACAGTCCTTAGGCAAGATATCTGCAGGGAAGTCAGCCTATCTAGCAATCCACCTGATGAGGTTTTCAATCTTGACACAAATTATCTAGCCTCCTTGACTAGATGTAGAACAGTCAATGACTTTCTATAACTCCATAACCAATCAATTAGTCTGAGAGAATCATAGGTGTGCAAGTCTGGTATCCAACTTGAAGAATTTACATAGCATTGAGCTGGGATGGATTCATTCATATTTTGGCAAATGCTCAGTCTGAGCCCACCCAAGTTGCAGCCCTCTAGATCTACCTTTCACCTCTACCTACTCAGACCCTATGCAGAATATCAACCTCTAGCCATGAACAAGTCCAAGCAATTCAGCTCTAATAGCGATTCTAAAAGGCTTAAACCACTAGGACCTCAGTAATATAAGGATAACTTAACAATGTGCCATCTCAAAAGTCAAAACATTGCAAAATCTAATGAGGTCCAAATTGCGAAAGGAACAACCAGTTTTCTGAACATTAGAAGACTATTTTGCTTAGAAGTCGCACTGCTTTTTTTCTTTTTTCCCTCCTTGAAAAAGGATTATGCTGTAGCCTGTAACTGTTAAACACCATCAAACAAGATAGTATTGCAGGCTAACCACATTACCAGGTCAGTCAAGTCAACCTTCCCAGCTAATCAGGGTACGAATAAGCTGGGTTTTCCAGTTTAATTCGACTTTTATGCAGAGTCCTGGCCCTGAATGGATATGTTCTAAATTTTATCAGGTTAAGTAGATGAACCATTGCTAATTTAATCAGTATACTTGTGGATTATGGATACTATCATGAACAATAAATACATTAAATCTGAACCTGGCATCATATCTCTGATCCTCGGTAGTAGAGATGTCTCTGACCACTTGCATTTGCTTTGAGATCTCTCTCATGTACATGGCCATCATAGTTGTCAAGGCGGACGCCTAGGCGACAAGGTGCCCTTGGAGGCTCACCTCGCCTAATCACCAAGCAGTTTTCTATAGCCTGTTCGACAAAACTTTTATATTCTTAACTTTTGAGGTTATAATTTTAAAATAGACATTTTTAAACTAAAATATTCATTTTGTGTGTTTATATACTAATTTCTTTTTATTATTTTCTTATTTGTTAGGGTTTAATCAACACAAACAATGCTAAATGCTGTATTGAACCCTGAAAGACTTCAAAACCTGAACCAATAAGTAAGGAAGAACTTAAAATGTTGTCTAACCAACACATTTACTTATTTTTCTTTACTAATTTTGTGTGTGTATACTATATACCAATTTTCTTCTTCCACATTTTCTTTTCTTCTTTTCCTATAACAGAAATAGGGGTTCAGCCCTTATATTTTTTTGAAATTTCTTTTCTTCTTTTTTTCTCATGAATATGTTGGAATATGTTGATTTTCTATACTTTAACATGAAGTTTATACTTTTCTCATGAAAATTATAGATAACTATTAAGGAAATATGATTATGGAACCTAGGGACCTACCTTAGGATACATATTTTCGCTCGAAAAAATCCACCACCTGGGCAACGCCTAAGCACCTGCCTAGGCAACTAGGCGACAAGGCACCCCCTTGTCACCTAGCCTTGCCTTGGCACCTTGAAAACTACGGTGGCCATTTTGGGTTGTGTTTGGTTTGATAGAAAATAAGAGAGAAACAGAAAGTTGAGGGAAAGTCTTATGAAATTACACCAAATTTGTTACACAAAATGTGTTTGGTTTGGTGATTCTACGGAATAGGAAACACCAATGAATTATTGAAACCAACCACTCCTGGACTTAAAGGCCATAGCAGCTAGAACTCCAAATGTTTCTAGTAGACAATAGCTTTTCCCTCTTTCTTTGTTCTATCTCTTCCGCAGATCTCCAAAAGTTGTAAGGCATCTTGCAGAAGTGATGAAGGTTCAAACCATCATAGAATTTCATCTGGGGGTTTCTTTCCAGTCAACATCTCCAATGGCAGGATGTCATATCTCTACACGTTTTCTTGTATTGACACACCTTTAGCACCAAAACCCATCAACATCATCCAAGCCTTATCCCAACTACATGAATCCTGTTTTGCCATTCCATTTTATTGAATGCCATATCTGTTGTTAAATTATTAGCGCATAAATCATTTCTTACTACTTCAACTGATATTGAGCTATTCATATCTGCCCTCGTTTTCCTAATCATCCGTCTCAGCATATTCATATCCGCCACTCATTTTTTGACATGTTTTTCTTGACTGCCCAACATGCTTCTCCATATAGCATAACCGGCCTTACAACTGTTTTATAGAATTTTCATTTTAATCTAAGTGATATTCGCCCATCACATAAGATTCTAGATACACCCCTCCATTTCGCCCATCCTTCTCCAATTATATAGGTGACATCCTTCTCAAAACCTCTTGTTTTAAACTTCTTTCATCATTAGATGCACATATCAGTTCTCAAGAAAGAAAGAAAGAAAAATCCACATAGATAATAGTACAGTTGAATTCTTATCTGGAGCGGAGTATCTTTTGGATCCTTTAGGAATTCTACCATCTGATTTTGTCCTTGTGAGAGAAATGTGATTTGGGACGAGAGATTTGTTATGGACTTGGGAAACATTCCTCCAAGGTGGTTTCCATAATAAAATTCAAATCATCAGCTGCCTTGTTCAGAGATAGTTTAAAACAAGGTCAAGCTTCCATCCAAGCTCATGGGCACATTGACAGTAAAGTTGTTTGAATGAAGATCGATCAAGGTCTATAATCGTGATGCATTTGAAAATGAAACTGTTTGGAGATTAGGAAGAACAAGGCCCATTATCAAGCCTGAGATTACCATACAAACTTATTATTGGCCAAAAACTATAGGCACATTTTTTAGGAACAAGAAAAGGAGAATATGAGTAATAAATCACAAAATTACTGTTAAAACAAACAGGTGCAAGTTCTATGAAAAAATAATGGGGCAACCGTTGCTATTCAAGGTAGGAAACGGCAGTGGACTTTGGACACTTGCTTAAGCACTTCGTCAATGACCTTGCACGTGGCTGTACTAATTATATATAGTTGGCCAGCAAATGGATTATAGGAAGAATTAACGTTCGCGAATAATACAGCAGCTGGGACCTTGTCAATATGGCCCCATGCAAGATAAATCAGACCCAGATAGAGCCTAAAAATTTTGTGGATTGGATTGGGCGGGTAACTCATTCCAATAGAAATGCATTCAACTTTCAAGACATGTCATACTCACACATGGGACCCCAAATCTGTAGCATATACCTCGTTCAACTTACTAAAAGACTTGCAATGGTGTTAATTATATAAGAGGAATACTATTCTGCGTTCTCTGTGCATGTCATGGAGGTAGAACTGAAAATGGAGATTAGTGAACTAATAGTGGTGAAGACAGTTCTGGATGAAAAAGTGGGGTGGTGGACAATAAACAGGTGGTGCTGGGTGGAAGTGCGGGAGGTGTAACGATAATGGTGGAGATGATGATGTGTAATTAAGGGATGGAAATAAAATTAGAGGCAGTGGATAAGGTGTAGAGAGTACTAGTGCGGCAAAATTCATAATTTCTATATGGTATATCACTCTGAAGGCTACGTTTGTTTGCGGTGTAAATTTACATCGAAGATTATTACATCGATGGATTCATGAGAGTGTAAAATGGGAATCGGATGTTGGTCCCATTTAATACTCTTCGCATTTGGTAAATTATTGAGGTAAAAGTCTAATGTTTTTTAACTGAGAGATTGCAGTCCTTGCCGGCTGGTTAAGAAAAAACGGAGTATTGTCTGTTTCAATTTTTAGCAATAACAATCACCTTAACCGCTGTATTTGGCGAATCAGAGCAGCCAGTTCCTATTCTCACCTTTCAAAATTGGAAGCTCTTTCTTCTCCTCTGCCTCCCCATGGCCAAAAGATTATTAATGAGTATGGAACATCTTCAGAGTTAATGCCCTTAGACTCCTCCCAACAGTTGTCTCAACCGTCTTTACTGGATAAGCCATCGCTAGCGTTTGTGCAACAACGCAGCTGTCTGACGATGACGATTCTATACCAATGAAGAGCTTGGAAGACCGGGGTGCTGATGGCATCAGTGGTGTTTGGTGGTAAGCAACATGGAGCGTTAAAGAGCAGTTGCGACAGGGTGGAACTGGAATTGGAAGGATTTGGGTGGGACTGAGGAGTACGAATACAGGAGATTTGGGTTGGTACTGTTATCAGGATTTAATGATGCTAAACAGCAGCACTGTTAGGTTATGGGGTAGTGATAGGCGGAGAAGCCATGTGACCGAAAATTATTGGAAAAAGATTTCTCCTTTCTTCATTCTCTGCCCTTGAAGCCGAAAATTCATCTGATGTTATGAGCGGAGAGCGGTAATATTGAAAAAATTGATTTATTTTTTACATTGATTATCAGTATAAAAGTCTTTCAAAACGAGTTTTACATCGGTCTTTGATATTCTTTTACACTCGATCCAAATAGCGGTAAAACTGGACCAGAATGTAATATTACATCAGTCCGATATTTACACCGCAAACAAACGCAGCCGATGGTTGAGATTCAGCGATAAATTTTAGATCACCAATTGATGACCAATATCTTTGATTTGATTATCAGATTAATTAGATGGCTCAGATTACTTGAGATCTTGATATATCACTTTGATTCCAGATAGTTTAATATTTAGACAGGTCGTATGAAGAAAAAGCTTAGGATTGCCTTTTCCCCTTAATATATTTGCTTCTAAAGTAATAATTTGTATTCTTCTGAAAATAAATTACAGTAGAGCTTACTCCATCTAACTACAATATCATTACATGAAATAGAAAAGATCTCAGACCCCGTTCCAGTCCATTTACACCCAAAAGGGAAAGAAAACTCCTCACCGAACAACTAATTCAGCTTAAAGGTTGCTAATGTTCTCCGTCATGGCTGCCCAAAGTCCAGTTTCTCCTCTTCTCCAGCTCTTAATGGTTTTCTTCTGCAATCAACAAAGTGATATTATATCAAATTGTAATCAGAGACCTGCAGCTCCTATCCGGGAATGATGAACATGTGCACCAGAGTGAAGTTTACAATGCTTCTAGTCTCTAGATGGTTGCTTTTGTCGATCCACGCTGGAGTTTGTCATTCGTAGAAAATGTTGCAGTAATCAATTCAATATTTTTAGAAATTATTCTCATTGCTTCCTTCCCAGAAATCAGATTCAGATGCAAAGAGTTCAGCAAGTCAGCTGGGTCAGGATTTGTATGACCAAGTTCTAACACTTGTAAACAAGGTTGTTTAATAAATGCAAATAGGCCATAGTCAACAAACTTCCCATACTTTTTTAATGCATACCTCTTCAATTCCTCAGGCAACCTCTCTAATTCAAAAGGCAAAGGATTTTAAGGGACCACAAATACAAGTATAGAAGGCGTTAACACATCAATCAGAACGACCTTCTTGAGCAGAAAACTAGGAGGTGGGCCTCTTTACGCTAGCATTGCTAATTTGCTCTATTAACTATAGATTTGGTTGGTAATTCATACAAACTTTAAATATTCTTTAGGCTCAGTTTGGAAGTACAAATACAAATATGTAGAGTACAAATACATACAAAATACAAGATTTTACGCTCTACATATTTGTATTTGTACTCTCCTTCCAAATGGAGCCTTAATGGTAAATATTAAATATTTCAATAGATCACAAATTCACAGGTCATGCCCATGAATAGTATGCCTTATCATGCATATTGGACCCTTAAGAAGTGGATACATAATTCATATAAATCACTACTAGTTGTTTTGATAGAGACGTAAAACTAAGTCAGACCCATGGATACTGTGAATTCCATCATCCATATTGGACACCAAGGTTTGTACATAGGTGTGAACCATTCAACTTCTGGAGCTGGTCTATTTGACCTAAACAATTACAGAGCAATAGAATCAACCCTAGGATAACAGCAGCAACAATGAGTTAAAATCTGCTGGCTGCTGCACTGATATATGAGAGACCACACATGTAATGGGACACCTGTCGCAGACTGAATGGAAGTACAGATAAGTGGAGCAGATTCAGATTCCAAGTGAAGTCATGGGCTATGTGACAATGTACTGAACCTCCGCTGAGGTTTCTTAATTACAGATTTCCCCTTGTTGGAGGGGATACATCTGAGGGCGTCGTGGTGGTGCCGGTGTGTGCCTGGTTACCTGTATACGATAGTATACCACCATACACAGCCTAAGTGGTAGGGCTAATATCTAAAAACAATGCATCCATTATAGTTGGCTCTAATTCAGATTGAAAGATGAAGACCCCATGGAGTCAGGTCTGATCCAGTGCCACTTAATCTCTATATATAAAATTTGAAATTTTTACAAGGGATACTTGGATACTTGTTTGTTTTGGATGTTTTTCTCCTTTTCTTGAATTACATTCAGCATAACTAAAACCACTATAAGGGAGAAATTGAGCAGAGTGTTACCTATGAAATTAAAACAATGAGCAAACTGGATGGATGCATCAGTCCTGTATGATGGAAGAATATCACTTAGGATACAAGAAAATTTTTATAAAATGGTCATAAGGCCAGTAATGTTGTGTGGAGTGAGTGTTCTGTTTTTTTTTCCTCTTTACTGACAAGTTGACTAGTATGGAGTTGGGTGGTGGGCAATAAAGAAATTAGAAAAGATGCAAATGTTGAGACATATAAGCGACAAAACTAAAAACATGATTAGAAAGGAATTTGTTTATAACAACTAACTTGTTTTTAACAAATTAGGCATTTTAGTTCAAGTTTCCTAAACTCAGTCAGCTATCAATAGAATCTCACTGTAATGGTTAACTTGTAAAATTAAATATTGGCTAATATGATATGTAAAACCTATGGAGGCCAGACCAGAAAATGAACAGGCCAAGATAATCTGGTTTAACTGGTGGGTAGGGTGGGTAGAGCAGGTTAATCGGGTTATTATGTTTATGAGTGCTTGATCAATGAACCCGGGTCAGTTTGATCAACCTGCTTGGAACAGCGAGGTTGGCCGGGGCAACTACAGTCTACAGGAAATATCCAAGGCCGTTTTGTTAAGTTCTGGTTTTATACCTAAATGTAATCACCATGGATCCATTTCCAATTTTACTTATTTGACTACAATTCCCAGATTCTATTAAGTATGCTCGTGAATCTTAAATGCTTATTCCTTACCGTGATATCTGTGGTTCCCAGAGCCAAGAAAGATATCTCTGATCAGATGCATCTCCCTTGTGACTTCATTCATGTCCATTCTTTCTCTTGGGGACTCTGCAGAACACGCAACCCCTATTCCAATTACAGAAATGAGGCACTTCTGGATTTTCTCTTCTAGACCATTCAACAATTCATTACTACAAGGTACTTCTACACTTCCAATTTGTTCTGCTTCTTCCTCGTATAGAAATAATGGGCCTGCAATCTCCATTACTTTCTCTGGCAGAGCAGCTTTACAAAAGTTATGAAGGTTGAGGACATCTTTAAATATTTCATCGGTGGGTCTCCTTCCCGTGAACATCTCCAACAACAGGATACCATAGCTGTAAACATCTCCATGAGTTGATACCTTCAAGCCCATGCCGTACTCTGTAATTCACACATATACTTCACCATTAAAGCAATTTTTAAGAGATTACCTAAGAAGTGATTTGTTGCAAGTTGAAGGGACTAGAAGGGATAGATGTAGACCAAAAAGGACATGGATATAAGTAGTAATAAATGATTTAAACACCAATAACAATGGATCTGACATTAAACAGAACAGAATGGTAAAACAGGATTCAAAACTGACCCCATATGGTTAGGATAAGGCTTGGATGATGATGATGACCAAAAAGTTCTCATGAGTCTAGTGAAACTCTCACCTGGAGCAGCATACCCAATAGTTCCTTTTAGTGCAACCGAGCTTGATTGGTTCTGAAATGAATTTTTGGTGGACCTTGACAGAAGCCTTGAGATTCCGAAATCACTCACATGGGCAGTCATATCATTGTCAAGAAGAACATTGCCGGGCTTCAAATCGCAGTGAACAATTGGTACATGGCATTGGTGATGAAGATACTGCAATGCAGAAGCCACATCGATGGCGATATTTAGCTTTTCAAGAAAGCTTAATTTTCTAGGCCGAGTATTTCCCTCTTCTCCTGGATGCAACCAATCTTCCAGGCTTCCATTTGGCATGAACTCAAATACCAATGCTTTGAATTCATTGCCCATGACATCCATGCTTGAGCATGCAGTTATTATCTTGATGAGATTGCGATGTAGGATGTTTCTCATTGCATTGCATTCCGTCATGAAGCTCTTAGAAGCTCTTTGTTGCTGAATGTTAAGTACCTTAACTGCAAAAGTAACTTGATTGAGAATTCCTTTATACACAGCCCCAGAACTACCGGAACCAATCAAGTTATCTGTAGAAAATCCATCAGTTGCTTTGAATAGCTCTTCATAAGATACCCTTAAGTGCCGCTTCCCAAATGTTTGGGTAGAGCTTTCCCCAGGTGAAGAGTTAGAAGATGAAATCTTCTTTGGCTTTCTTAACCAGATTACAAAGAAAATAAATGCTGTTAAAAGTAAAACCACACCAACTATGGCTGGTATTAGCTTGAGAGCAAGAGATGTTCCTTTTTTCTTGGACTCTTCCATAAGGCATGCCTGCAACTCCAATTCTGGGATACCCCCACATAGTCTGCTATTTCCAGAGATTGAAATAACACTAGCATTCTCAAAGACTCCTGCAACAGGTACTTCACCTTCAAGGTTGTTAAAAGACAGATTTAAATAAAGCAGAAACTGGAGGGTCCCAAGAAACTCAGGAATTTGCCCAGACAAATTATTATTTGAAAGATCTAAGTCTTGAATCGCTTTCAAGTTGCTGAAAGATGATGGAATGGATCCTCGGAAGAAGTTACTCTGCATATAAAGGTGTTCCAAGCTGGAACAATCTCCGAGCATGCTCGGAATCTCACCCGACAATCTGTTAAAAGAAACATCCAATCTGCCAAGATTTTTCAAATTTCCAACTTCCAATGGTAGAGTACCAGTCAAAGAATTATGAGATATGTCGAGGACAACTGAGAGGGACGAAAGGCCAAATGCTTCTTTGGGTATGGTGTCATTGAGTTCATTATAACTGAGGATTACCTCTTGTAGACCTTGACAACTACTGATAGTTGAAGGTATCCTTCCCCCTAGGTTGTTATTTTGCAAATACAGCTTTACCAATTTAGTGAGGTTACCTATGGATGATGGGACCTCTCCTGAAAATCTATTTCCATCCAACAATAAACCTTCCAACACAGAAAGCTTTCCAACGAAATCTGGGATGCTACCCTTGAAGAAATTTTGCCTCATATCTAGAAAAATCAAATTTTCTAGATTCTCAATGCCTATGGGAATTTTACCAACTATCTTATTGAACCCAAGTGATAGCCATGTGAGACGGGTTGAGAGGTTTGCTATGGAGTTGGGTAAAATTCCTCCGAAGTTGCAATTCTGAAGACGCAACGTCCACAGATCGCTGCAATTGATCAAAGATGCAATGAAATTCAAGTCATCAGCTTCTCCTCTCCCTATATGATTATTTGCAAGGTTAAGCCACTGTAGAGTCTTAATGTGGCCCAAGCTCAAAGGTACGGGTCCAGTAAAATTGTTGTAAGGGATGTCAATTTCTATAAGCCCTGAAGCATTGGCCAAGGAAATCGGAATTGGTCCAGTGAATCGGTTTCCTCCAATCCATAGTATTTGGAGATTAGGAAAGATAAGGCCTATATCGGGCCTAAGACTACCATGTAGTTTGTTATTTGTCAAAGCTATGTAAGTGATGGATGAGAGGTTGTAAATTGAAGAAGGGATGGTACTGGATAGTTGATTCAGTTGTAGACCAAAATGTTGCATGCTTTTCATTTGGCCGAAGACATCTGGAATGGTACCGTTCAAATTATTTCTCGCCAGAGAAAGAAACCGGAGGGATGAAAGGTTTCCAATAGAGGTTGGTATTCCTCCGGTTAAATCGTTGCCACGTAAAGAGAGGGTGACGAGCTTCGTCAAAGAGCCAAGCTCGGCTGGAACTTTACCTTCCAAGCTGTTGAACTCAAACCTGAGGTCCATGAGATTGGAGCAGCGAGACAGGTTAACTGGAATTTCACCTCCAAAGGAATTGTTGTTGAGAAGGATACCTTGTAAGCTCAACAGTCGACCAACTTCTTGGGGGATGTTTCCATGGAAGCTGTTGTTTTGGAGATTGATAAAAACGAGGAAAGAGAGATTTCCGACGTAGGGTGACATGGTTCCAGCCAACTTGTGCCCCTCCAGGTTCAAACTAGTGACTCTTTGATTTCGTTCATCACAGGTGACTCCATACCATTGGCAGAGATGGGTTGAATCATTCCAGGAGCTCAATACTCCAAGAGGATCAATTATTTGTCTATTGAACTCGATCAATGCAAGCCGATCAGTGTCATTTCCAAAGGTTGCCGCCAGGGTAGATTCGGAGTACCCCAATAATAAGTTCAGGCTGGAAAGAAGGACAATACGAGTTATAAACGACAACAACATTTCACTACTCTTGTTCTTGGACACAGAGATAAAGCAAACTGCTGCCATTGCATTGAGAATTGAGAAAGCCACACTAGTGGTAGATAGTTGGTGATGATTATTGCCAACATTTGCTACTGTCGCAAAAAAACATTATTGAAATTCGTGTTTGCATCTATTACAACTGTTTTAGTTTGGTAAGAAGGTAAATTTGTTAAAAGTAAAATTAATTAATTCTATATATTTGCATCTTTTTCAAATACAGCCTAAAATCAATGGTGGCTATTGAAGATGATTATGATTTGTGACTTGCACAATTAGGGTAAAGATTCAGTACCCCCCATTGCTCTTAATATCTCTATGACCCAATAGTTTATCTGTGAAAAATGAATGCAGATCTTTTAATCAAGATCCAATGTATTGCATATCAGCATATGACGCAGTAGTTTGATACTTGGTAGAGCTCAAATAAGTACAATATTGATAGCTAATATGCTTCACGTTAAATTAAGATTTCAATGGATGACGTTATAGATGTTACTTCATGTATTCAATTTTGACTTGTTCACAATGCAATTGATTTAGCACGAATTTTGCCTTAAATTCAAAAGATTAATTAGCAAGATATGTATTTGAAGAGATTACACCCTCCTAAGTCAGACTTCCGTCATTCACACTTTTACGTTGGAGGCCAAGCATTGGGTTATTTGGGTAGGCAATTTCTTCTCAAAGTCAGGCCTGTAGAGGAGTGAGTTCGTAGCATTCACATTCTTTTAATTTTCTTTTTGTCCTTTTAGTAAAAGCTTCCTAGTTTCTACTGGTTAAGAGTTATTAACAATATTTTAGTGATTAGCGTAATGCTTTTGTCATGGGTCGTAAGCACATTAGGACGTCGTTGACAGGGCTCGACTGTCGTCGGTCACCAGAAGCCATTATCGAAATCTGATAAAAAACATCGGATTTTTAAGATTATGATTCGAATTTAAATTTGAATATTTTATTCCAATTCGATTCAATCAATTTAAATTGTAATAAACAAATTGATGATCAATGTATTATAATATATAATGGGTAAATTTCTTAAAATACCTTTAAGGTTTAGTTAATCGACTAACTCTACCCCTGTATAAACATCAAAAATCATTTGAATTGAAGACTCTTATAAGCATCTAATTTTTAATTCCCGACCAATTTTAATATTGCAACTATTAGGGAGTGTTTTTTTTTTTTTTTGTTGGATTTTGAGAGGGAGAAAAGTTGATCAATGGGATTTTGGTTCCCATTGCCCAAGAATCCTATATTCATTTTTCAGATTAATGTGGGGACTAGGGAAAGTTTATATCCATCTCCTAGGTGGGTATATAACTTTCCCACCTAGGAAGAAAGCTGCTAACACTTGAATGGGACAAAAATGCCCCTTTTAATAATGGATTTTTATGATTAAGATGGTCATTATCTTATTTACCTAAGAAATAAAAGAACATGGGTAAATGCACTTAACACATGCAAGTGTTTTCAAGGAAAAATTTACCCTAAACGGAGCCTTAAAAGAGAAATTCTAAATTTGCATGCCTACAAAGTACTTTCCATGATATACATATCAGAGTGTAACCAAATTAAAGATCTACAGCCCTTATTTGGTAATATTGATTAAGGTGTGCATCACCAGAATGAAGTTTTACAAATCCAGCTTCTAGTCTCCAGATGGTTACTATTACTTACTACTTCAGCTGATCCACGGTGGAGTCTGTTAACCGCAGAAAATGTTGCATTAATCTCTTCAACAATATTTTTGGAAACCATTCTCATTGATTCCTCCCCCGTCAATCCAATAAGAAGAAATCAGCTGAATGACTTCAGCAGCTGGATCGATCAGGATTTCTATGACCAAGTTGTAAGACAAGGAAGGTTGCTTAAGAGAAGTTCAAATCAAATTAAATAGGCCGTATCCAACAAATTAATTAATTAAACCGTGATTGGACCTGGTTCCTTAATTCCTTTGCTTTCATAATTCAGATCTCTATTTGAATATAATTCAATTCTCCATAGGCAATCTCTCCAATTCAAGAATAAGCAAAGGATTTTAAGGACCCGCAAGTATAGCTAGTATAGAAGGTGGCATTAACGACCACATCAACCGACTAGCTAGTGGGGTGGATCTCTTTACGCTACCATTGCTAACTTTCCCTATTAATTAACTATATAGATTTGGTTGGTAACTCTTCCCAATTCTAAATATTTCTTTTCTGATAAATATTAAATAATTAATTCAAGGGATTACGAACTTATATATAATTCATATAAATTAGTACTAGTTGTTATGAATCATGATAGAGATAGAGATAAAGATGTAAAACCAAGTCACGTCACGTCCATTGATTCTGTGAATTCTATTGGACACCAATTAACTTAATTTGCAGCATAGGCACGTATGAACCTTAATTTCAACTTATAACCAATAATTACGTACAGAGCAATAGTATTCACCCAAGTTCAAGGATAAGAGCAGCAATAAGGAGTCAGAATCTCCTGCACTTCCATTTAGTTTGTGAAAAGTGTCCCATCATACGCGCATATATATATATATATATATATATATGTCAATGCATCTATATGTAATATGGAGCACAGGTCCGATAAATGCAGATTAGAAATGGTAACGGGGCGGGGCGGGGACGGGGGAGCCTCTCCCCATCCCCTTTCCCGTGAAAATCCTGATTCCCGTCTCTCTGTTTCCGCTAACGGGGATAAGGTTATTCTTATTCCTGTTTTTATGGGATCCTCATTCCCTGTGATTTTTAATAATATTAATTATTTTATTTAAAAAAATAATAATAAAATAATTAAAATTTATTAGAAAAGATTTAAACATATTCAATTATATTTTTAAAAATATTATATATATATATATATATAACTTATGCATACATATATACGTATATATTAGTGGGGATCTTACGAAGCAGGGATCGGGGTCCCCGTGGGGCAGGGAGTGCTCTCTCCATCCCCGCCCTGTCTCTACTAACGGGGATGAAAATTTTCCCATCCCCATCCCCGCCCTATTCGGGGCGGATCCCCATGGGGATCGGGGAAATGGGGAAAATTGCCATCCCTAATCCAGATTCTAATTGAACATCACTATTGTGGTGTCAATGGTCAATCCATGGGTGCTTACTGGTTACTTGGACAAAATGGAGACATGCATTCAGAGTGGCAAATTAACTACAAATGTTGAGAATGAAAATTGAAGAAAAAAAAGGAATTTATTTGAAAGCTAAGGGGTTCAAATGGATCGGGTCCCGATCCGATCCAAAATCCAATACTCAGATATATATACCTATTTCAAAATTTCAGATTGGATAATCGGATCCGATTAAAATTCATTTATTTATATAATATATATGTTATTTATTTATTTATAAATATGTCATTTATACTATATTTTTTGTAATATATCATTTATTTATAAAAATTATGTATATATATGATAAAAATAATTGAAAAAAAATATTTGTATTTTTTGTTTTTCTTTATTTAAACTGTTAATGTTTACTTTTCCTTTTAATACTTTATTATTTTTTTAAAATTAAATCGAATCTGATCAGATTCGGATATCCGACATCCTGATCGGATTCGAATTCGAATAAGTATTTATGAGATCCAATCAGATTAGATATGCAATGTATTAGATCCGAGATATACCTTGATTCAAATCCGGTCCGATCCGTTTGCATCCCTAGTGGCTCTAATGGGTGATAAAACGAAGGAAAGTAAACTAAAAGTTTGATTGTTTGTAATAATAAGGGTATGGAATCATAATCGGAATTGTGGAAACGGAATCCCATTTCCATTTCTGGTGGATGGCATTCCTCCATTTGAGGGAGTGGCCATTCTCTCCCCTTTCCTTGAGAATGAGAATCCAATCCAACTGATTTTGATTCTGATTCCAATTCTCACCTGAACCAAACAGGTAAGAAGAATGGATCATTCCAATTCTAATTTCAATTCCAACGAATTTTGATTCGGACTCTGATTCCTATTAAGAACAAAATGGACCCTAAAATTGTCTGGCCACATGCAGAAAAACAGCCTGCATATGTCAATATACAAGTAAATTTAGTATATGTTTGGCATCGATGCTGCAAATGCAGCACCGCTTTCTGATGTATGGGTTGGAAGCACCGCCTTTTTTTTGTTTGGAATTATTGTTGCCAAGTAGGACGCTTCCTGGAGTAACAACCACTTTTTCTATTTGGTATCAATGCTCTAGAAAATATTTTATGCACTTCTACCCATTATCTAGTGCCACATCACTATCCTGTTGGCAGCAACGAGCTGCAGCTCCAGGAAATACCAAATTTGGCGTTGGTCCAAGCCATGCCTTTCCGATTTCCAAGGCATGGCTTGGAGCACCGTTTTCTATGAGATAAGAGTTCCAAACAAATAGCTATTTCTTAAAGCACTGTTTTTTTCGATGTAGCATTGATGTGACGCCGTTTTCTGGAACAACGACAACGATGCCAAATAGCCAATTAAGTAATGAGAAATGATTCAAGGTTAACAATGGATATGGATGAAGAGGATTTATATAACTGACACCATATAGTTGACAATGTCTATGGGCTAGACCTGTTTATGGGCCGGGCCGGGCTTTTACTCATTATTAATGGAAATACGCTAGGCTCGAGCCCGACCCGGCCCGACCAACGAGCCTATAACTTGGGCCCGAGCCTGGCTCTGATAAAAAGCCTAAAGCCCGACCTAATAAAAAAAATTACAATTTTCCTATTCAAATTAGAATTAAAAATTCAGATGGTTTTTTTTCCTATTTAAATGAACAATGGGCCTATAAGATGGTTTTTTTCCTTTTCTTTTAGGTTTTAAAACACAGTCTTATATTCTTAAATAAAAAAATTTATTCAAAACCCGAGCCCGGGCTACTTTGACAAAACCCGAGCCTGGCTTAAATTTATTACGGGTCGAGCTTTTTAACCCGAATTTAAGCCCACGGACCTATAAACATGTTCAAGCCCGTCCGGGGGCCAGGCCAGCCCGTTGGACCACCCAGCCCATGAACAGGTCTAATA